AAGCAATATCGAACTAACGCAGATATACAAATAAGTTAGATAACCGCTGATGCATCAAATGAAAATATAAATAACCGTGCGGTCGTCAAAAAATAATACAAAGAAATCACCTGATACGACCTGGCTACATGAATGAAACTTTGTGTGGCACAATATTAACTACATTAAAATAAGCATGGACTTTAACATAAATAACTCTCCACACCGTCGAGGAGAATCCTGTTGGTAGGCTAATAGGTTTTTATACTGACATACTTATCTCCTCAGAAGTGCCACTATCTGCGTATTCATCATTTGATATAATATGATCATAATATTTCACCTATAAAATAGCGTACCTGTGGTATAATTTGAATAAGTTTTTCAGAACGTTCAAAATCTATATCATGCGAGTTTTTTATCAAATTAACCGCTTTTTCTACAACATCTCTTAGTTCATCTTTATTAATCCAAGGATTTTCTTCTAACTCTTGGTAAATAACAGAGCCTGCCATTAAATATTCAGTCTTTACGCTAGTCAAATATTCTACAGTTTTACGTATAAATATTCTGAAGACATAATGATAAAGGTAGTCAAAATATAATGTTAGAAGCCTGCTAAGCGAAATAAAAATAATATAAATTTCAATACCTTTTCGCTATACTGCCTTTTTAAATGTATTTGTAATTTTCCCATTCACGTCTTCTCTGAATCTGAGTTTATGTTAGAGTCGAAGTGGGAGAATATGTGAGGCAGTTTACATCAAAAGTTTATGTTCGAAGATAAGAGCATGCGGAATGTGCATTAAAGATCTCGACATTTAGAAAAGCGTTAGAGACGATGCATATACCTTCTTTTTATTTCACTTGCTCGCCTAGTAATGAAGGTCTAGTAGCATTACACAAATATACTCTGGCCGTAAAATCTAGTAGAAATAGACTCTAGTATCGGAGGAAATAAACTCATAAATAAATGCTATTCAGATAGATAGGGAAAAAATTCAAAATATTTTTTGAGGATCGACTTCTTATGTGTAAAATTATTTTGTTGTACAAGTATAGTTTCACAGATGATTTGCAGATGATTTGCGGTGTATCACCTATTATAACATATATATTTTAATAAGGATCAAAAACGTGCTAATTTATGTTGTACATGTCTTCATGCATTGGCTTTAAGGCGCTTTGCATGGCTGAATAGTATATTATTTTATTAATACAATATTCGGAATTTAAGTCAAGGTCTGATCTGAAAAATTCAGCGTATAAACTCATTATTATCATTCAAATCTGAGAAATTTACGGTAAGATTCTTTTCTAGAATATCATATATTTTTAATGACTGTGAATCACATATATGTTGTACTCCTGTCAATTTACCACTATATTTCTTACAATCTAAAACTTTGATAAAGTATTCAAAGTCATATTTTTTATTAATACGATAATATTCAGGATTTCGTGGCCATTTTAACATGTCAATCCAATATGCATCTCTAATAAATGTATAGCCTTGCTGATATAATAATTTCCCAACAAGTATGTGTGATACTGTATCTAATCATATTATAATTAAGCTATCTTCTCATACATCTAATCATTTCTTACTAGATAACAACACCCCCCATCCTTATAACAAATATATCTTGATTGTTCTAATTCATTTTTTATACTTAAAAACTTCATATTATCAGAAGTACCATCATTTCTTACCGTCTCTCAAACTCGTTTTGCCAAAGATTCGGGTCTTTTCTTATAATTCCTATAAGCTTGCTAGATAACTGTCGTATAGAAATTCTCAAATTGATAGTTATATTGTCTTGCAATCAAGAATCCCTAAGATCACTTCATTGATCTTCCTAAACTTCTCAAAAATACTTTATTAAAATAAATTAGAAGATCTAACCCAGAATAGGCAGATCATACATAACGTCTGCATGTGATACATGAAATGATTATACCTTCGATCGTAATTTCATTACATGTAGATTATGTAATCTCAAAAAAAATAATTTATGAATATAGTTAAGATAAATAATGTTATTATTCAGTCAAAAGTAATAGTCAGAATCAGTTAGTTAAACTACCGTAATTTCTGTTCCATCCTCCAATCTCAATACAGTGCCTTTTGGCTGTTTTGCATATAGAGACGAGATAAATATTTTTCTATAATATTAGAAGTGATCTTCATATAACTCATCATTAATATAGTATGTTTTGGATTCTACTTGCTCAAATGAATCGAAAAGGCAGTACACATGGTATAAACTATATTTTCGCTTAGAAAGTAGTTCTTGTAAAGGAGCCCTTATACGAACAGCCCATTGCTGAGGTGTTTCATGAGGTCTAATAATGAATAAAAACTAACTTACATCCGGGGCATTGGCGCTGGCATTGGCATTGGCACTAGCATTGACTTTGGCTCTGGTATTGAAGGTGGCGGAGCTGGCATTGGCGTTGGCATTGGTATTGGCTTTGGCTCTGGCATTGAAG